AAAAAAAAAAAAAAAAAAAAAAAAAAAAAAAAAAAAAAGACCAGCCTGAATAAAATAGTGAGACCTCATCTCAAAATAAATAAATAACAAATACTCTTTAATATTTTGCTATACTAATACTATTCCATATTATTTTAAAGGTACATATTTTGAAAGCCTTATCTTAAAAAAACCTGCTAGGAGGTAAATGAAAACATATTCGAGTGTACTGTATTTTTAAATTTGTATTTCTGCATGAATTATCTATTCATATCTTGTGTTGTCTTTTAAAATCAATGATGGGAAGCTAAGTATAGTGGTATACCCCTGTAATCCCAGAGACTCAGGAGGCTGAGGCCATTGGATGTCATATTTGATGGGTTCCAATGGGCACTTTCAATTGATTTGCTGTTTTATGATGAATAGGCCTTGTCTTCCGGGGAGGACCGTGGCTTGACTTCTTTAAACCTAGAAACTTCCAACACATCAGAAGGGAGGATGGGAGAGATTCTCCATGATCTAGAAGAAATTCAGAAAAACTTACAAGAAAACTTCACATGGAAAGCGGCTCCCGAAGAGCAGACCCAGGGTGAGGTGATTTTATTTTGTGGAGGAGGATTAAACGCAGGAGCTGGGTGGAAATGGCCAAGTGCTGCGGGGCTTTGTTCTTTGGGGACAGGATCCCAGAGTGTGGCTGCTTCTTCTCTGTGGGGTTGTAAATCAAGTGGGAGTCGGCTGAGGCGTGTTTGTGACTAGGTAAGTTTGGGGACCTGACTGGAGGTGTGCTGTATCTCAGGCCCTGAATAGACTGAAACTCGTTTTCTAAAATCCATAAATGGGGCTGGGGATGTGGCCCAAGCGGTAGCGCGCTCGCCTGGCATGCGTGCGGCCCGGGTTCGATCCTCAGCACCACATACAAACAAAGATGTTGTGTCTGCCGAAAACTAAAAAATAAATATTAAAAAATTCTCTCTCTCTCACTCTCTCTTTAAAAAATAAAAAATAAAGCCCATAAACGGAGATCCCAGCTTACTGCTTGTCATGTTATCCTCCCAAGGAGATTTGGAAATAGGCTGCTTTTGATGTTTGTTTTTGAGATGGGTCTTGCTATGTTGCCCAGGCTGGTCTCCAGTTCCCGAGCTCACAGGGTCCTCCTTGCCTCAGCCCCCTGAATAGTTGGGACTACATGTGTGCACCACCAGCCCTGGTTGCTTTTTAATTTTTTTTTATTTGTTCTAATTAGTTATACATGATAGTAGCATACATTTATGCACCGAGAAGTGGGATAGTTGGGTCAAATGGTGATTCCATTCCAAGTTTTCTGAGTAATATCCATACTACTTTCCATTATAGTTGCACCAATTTGCATTTCCACCAGCAATGTCTGAGTGTACCTTTTCCCCCACATCCTCATCAACATTTATTGTTGTTTTTATTCTTAATAATTGCCATTTTGACTGGGTGAGATGAAATCTTAGAGTAGTTTTGATTTGCATTTCTCTAATTGCTAAAGAGGTTGAACATTTTTCATATATTTATTAATCGATTGTATTTTTTCTGTGAAGTGTCTGTTCAGTCCTTAGCCCATTTATTGATTGGGTTATTTGTTTGTTTGTTTGTGTTAAGTTTCTGAGTTCTTTATATATCCTGGAGATTTAATGCTCTATCTGAGGTGCATGTAGTAAAGATTTTCTCCCATTCTATAAGCTCTCTCTTCACATTATTGATTGTTTCCTTTGCTGAGAAGAAGCTTTTGAGTTTGAAACCATCCCATTTATTGATTCTTTATTTTACTTCTTATGCTTTAGGTATCTTGTTAAAGAAGTCAGATCCTAAGTTGACATGGTAAAGATTTGGGCCTACTTTTTCTTCTATTAGGCACAGGGTCTCTCTGGTCTAGTGCCTAAGTCTTGTTTGTTTTTTTTTTTTTTTTGGTACCTGGGATTGAACTCAGGGACACTCAACCATGGAGCCACATCTCCAGCTCTATTTTGTATTTTATTTAGAGACAGGATCTCACTGAGTTAGCACCTCACTATTGCTGAGGCTAGCTTTGAACTCGTGATCCTCCTGCCTCAGCTTCCTGAGATGCTGGGTGCCTAAGTGTTTGATCTACTTTGACTTGAGTTTCATGCAGGGTGAGAGGGGGTTCAATTTCATTTTGTTGCACCATTTATTGAACAAGCTATCTTTTCTCCAATGGATGTTTTTGGTGCCTTTGTCTAGTATGAGATAACTATATTTATGTGGGTTTATCTCTGTGTCTTCTATTCTGAACCATTGTTCTACATGTCTGTTTTGGTTTCAGTATCATGCCATTTTTGTTAATATGGCTCTGTAGTATTGTTTAAGATCTGGTATTGTGATGTCTCCTGTTTCACTCTTCTTGCTAAGGATTGCTTTGGCTATTCTGGATCCTTTATTTTTCCAAATGAATTTCATGATTGCTTTTTCTAGTTCTATGAAGGATGTCATTGAGATTTTAATCGGAATTGCATTAAATCTGTATAACGCTTTTGGTAGTATCACTATTTGCCGATGACATGATTCCATATTTAGAAGAGGCCAAAAAATTCCACCAGAAAACTTCCAAAACTCACAAAAGAATTCAGCAATGTAGCAGGTTATAAAATCAACACCCATAAATCAAACGCATTCCTATACATCAGTGATGAATCTATTGGAAGAGAAATTAGGAAAATTATCCCATTCACAATAGCTTCAAAAAAAGTAAAATACTTGCGAGTCAATCTAACAAAAGAGGTGAAAGACCTCTACAGTGACAACTACAGAACACCAAAGAAAGAAAGGAAGAAAACCACAGAAGATGGAAAGACCCTCCAGGCTCCTGGATAGGAAGAATTAATATTGTCAAAATGACCATACTGGGGCAGGGAATGTGGCTCAAGCAGTAGCGCGCTCGCCTGGCATGCACGGGGTGCTGGGTTCAATCCTCAGCACCACATAAAAAAATAAAAGTAAAGATGTTGTGTCCACTAAAAACTAAAAAATAAATATTAAAAAATTCTCTCTCTCTCTCTCTCTCTCTCTCTCTCTTAAAAAAAAAAAATGGCCATACTGCCTTGTTGCTTTTTTTTTTTTTTTTTAAATTTTTACTATTTATTTATTTATTTTTAGTCTTCGGCAGACACAACATCTTTGTTTGTATGTGGTGCTGAGGATCGAACCCGGGCCGCACGCATGCCAGGCAAGCGCACTACCTCTTGAGCCACATCCCCAGCCCCCTTGTTGCTTTTTATTTGTTAACTAGTAAATGTCTTTATTAACAAAGCATGCAACTGTATAGATAATTTTTTATGCATTCTTTTCAAATATAATCTCTGGGGTACATGTTAATGTCAAACAGTAACAATGTAGAAAGGGCTTTCTTCTTGACTTTGTGTGTTCTCTGTTCCCCCAGAGTTATGTGAAAAGTTATAGCAGCCAGTTAGACATTAGAGATTAGCTCTGGTCCTCCAAAACCCTACCTCCTGGTCTGGCCACTGCTAACTTTTTGTACTGTAGGGATCTATCTCTCATAGCTTTCTAATATTTAAATAATCTTGCTATGCTTAAAAAGTCATTCCTTGTTCAAGTGAGAAGCATGATTCTTTGGAGAAAGTTTCTTAAGGAAAATGATTAGAGGGCAGTTTATTAGTTGTTCCAGAAATTATCTGAGAAATAAATGTTGTCTTGGTCTCATGTAATCCTAAACATAGTGATTTTATTTATTAATACAAATTTCAGATCAATTTTTGAATTTTGAGGTTAAGTTTAAAATGTTTTATTTAAAAAAAACTACGTGTAGGCATACAACAAAAGTTTCTCTCCCACCCTGCCCAATTCTCCCTTTTCCTTTATCTCAGTTCACCACTTTTTATTAGATCCATTCAGAATTTTTTTTTTAATTTTTAATTTTATTTATTTATTGTATGTGGTGCTGAGAATCGAACCTCGTGCCTCGCATATGCTAAGCAAGCACTCTGCCACTGAGCCGCAATCCCAGCCTTCAGAAGTTGATTATGAAAATATAAGCTAATATAAATTTGCATTTTATTTCCCACAGTTTTACTTTTTTACACAAAAGGTAATACATTTATATTCATTGTTCTGTATGTTGCTTTTGTTCTACATCTTGGTATCTTTATGAATCAGTGTACACAGGAGAGCGTTTTGTTTTTCATAGCTGCTTAGTATTCCAATCTATGCATACAGACTTTTATTTACCCAATTCTTTACTGATGGATACATGATTGTTTCTAATTGTTTATAATTACAATAAATGCTGAATGCTATGTACATATATCATTTCACATGGGTACAGATGTAATTGTAAGTTTGCCAGTAAAAGTTGCTGGGTCATAGGGTAAATTCATTTGGCATTTTGTTATATGTTGACAAATTTCTTTGTAGTTGGATTATACCAATTTACACTCCTATAGAAGTATATATCAGTGCAATCTTCCAACTGTGTGTTGTCAAACTAGTTTTTTGTCAATTTGTTGTGTAAAAGAGTGATTAGCAGTGTACCATACTTTTAATTTTAATTTCTCCACAAATTGTCTATTTGTATCTTGTGTGGTCTTTTAAAATTAATGTTGGGGAGCTGTGTGTGGTGTTGTACGCCTGTAATCCCAGAGACTCAGGAGGCTGATAGGAGGATTGCAAATTTGAGGCCAACCTGGGAAATTTTAATGAAAGCCTATCTAAAAGATTAAAAAACAAAACAAAACACTGAAAGAGAATATATTGGATATTTTCTTGTTTTGTTTTTTTCTGTGGTGCTAGGGATCATATACTGATACATTGCCAGGACCACATACAATATTTTTAAGACTTAGACTAGTTGTTCTTCATGTTCCAGACTACTGAATCAGCATCTCTAGAAGTCAGTCTCAGGAATCTACACTTTTGACAAACTCATCAGGAAATTTTGTAAATCTTATGCAGCACTTAAATAGAATAGTAGTATAGAGATTCGGTCCTGAAATTATTAAATTATTTTAAATGCCCAAAGGTTTCTTTCTAATTTTTTAAAAGAAAAATCTTATGACTTATTCCCTTGTTGTAGTAGAGAAATGAGATTGTTTTAACTCTATTATAAAGAAACTTCTCGAAGCCAGGCATGGTGGTGCATGCCTGTAATCCCAGTGACTCAGGAGGCTAAGGCAGGAGGATCATGAATTCAAATCCAGCCTCAGCAACTTAGAGAAGCCCTAACCAACTCCGTGAGACTCTGACGTTAGTAAAATATAAAAAGGGGCTGGGGATGTGGCTTGGTGGTTAAGCACCCCTGGGTTCAATCCCTGATACCAAAAAACAAAAAGAAAAAAAGAAACTTCTCAATAATTAAGTTTTACATAACAAATATTTCTGTACAGTCACGTGCTTAATGTAAACATCTTATTTTCCCTCTTACAAAACCTAACATTCATTTTGTAACCAGTGAATAGGCAACCTGCTTTATACCCAGAGGGTTAATTCATCATAAAACTTTATTTCATAATAATTTCCAGTGTTTTAATAGCTATTCAATAGTATTTTTTAAAAAATAGTTTTTAGTTCTCAATAGATCCTTTAACTTATTTATTTATCTATATATTTATTTATTTATTCATATGCGGTGCTGAGGATTGAACCCAGGGTCTCACACATGCCAGGCAAGCGCTCTACCACTGAGCCACAACTCCAGCCCCATATTCAATACTACTTTAATAGTATATTTTGAATGTACATTGTGTGTAAATTTTTTCTGAGTATCTTTAAAGTTGGAAACACTCAAGTGTAGATTATTTCCCACCTCAATAGGGATGAGAAATGTTAGATTTAATAAAAGAAATAAAATAAAATAAAGGGGCTGGAGATGTTGCTCAGTGGTAGAGTGCTTACCTAGCATGTTTGAGACCCTGTATTCAATCCTTAGCTGTGCAAAAAAAAAAAAGTAATTTATTTTAGCAGGTCATACAACCTATTTTAAAAAACTAATAATAAGCAACAATCTTATCAGCTAAATAGGAGAATAGTGTTGCCTATATGAATTAAAAAAAATTATTTTGTTAGTTCTGGGGACCAAACCCAGAGCCTCATGCATACTGACCACATGCTCTATCATGGAGTTACACCCCCAGCCTGCAGTATGTGTCTGTTTTGTGACTGGCTTATTTCACTTAGAATAATATCCTTCAGGTTTATCCATGTTGTGGTATGTCAGAATTCCTTCTAATAAAGGCTGAATAGTATTCCACTGATAACTCCATTATCAGCCACACTTTGTGTATCCATTTATCAGTGGATACACAAGTGTGTTATCACTTGGGTTGCTTCAGGGCCCACTGGAATTTTGAGAATGGCTTCTCATGAACAACTCTCCTGTTCTCATGCCCTAAATTGCCACAGCCCACACCCCTAGACAAGGTCTTTCATCTCATAAAATGAGTCTTAGATTATATGCCCCTGTCACTTCAAGGTACACAGGGGAAGAGCTCATCTTCAGCGTCCACATTTTAAGTTGTCCTTCCTTTTCTTTTTTTTTTTTTGGTACTGGGGATTAAACCCAGAGGCACTTTACCATTGAGCTGCATCCCCAGCCTTTTTTATTTTTATTATTTTTTAAAATTTTTTAATTTTTAATTTTTTTTTAATTATTAGTTGTTCAAAACATTACAAAGCTCTTGACATATCATATTTCATACATTTGACTCACGCAGATTATGAACTCCCATTTTTACCCAGTATACATATTGCAGATTCACATCGGTTACACATCCACTTTTTTACATACTGCCATACTAGTGTATGTTGTATTCTGCTGCCTTTCCTATCCTCTACTATCCCCCCTCCCCTCCCTTCCCCTCCCATCTTCTCTCTCTACCCCATCTACTGTAATTCATTTCTCTCCCTTGTTTTTTTTTTCTTTTCCCCTCACTTCCTCTTATATGTAATTTTGTATAACAATGAGGGTCTCCTTCCTTTACCATGCAATTTCCCTTCTCTCTCCCTTTCCCTCCCGCCTCTCGTCCCTGTTTAATGGTGATCTTCTTCTCATGCTGTTCCTTCCTGCTCTGTTCTTAGTTGCTCTCCTTGTATCAAAGATGACATTTGGCATTTATTTTTTAGGGATTGACTAGCTTCACTTAGCATAATCTGCTCTAGTGCCATCCATTTCTCTGCAAATGCCATGATTTTGTCATTTTTTAGTGCTGAGTAGTACTCCATTGTGTATAAATGCCACATTTTTTTTTTATCCATTCATCTATTGAAGGGCATCTAGGTTGGTTCCACAGTCTAGCTATTGTGAATTGTGCTGCTATGAACATCGTTGTAGCAGTATCCCTATAGTACGCTCTTTTAAGGTCTTTAGGGAATAGTCCAAGAAGGGGAATAGCTGGGTCAAATGGTGGTTCCATTCCCAGTTTCCAAGGAATCTCCGTACTGCTTTCCAAATTGGCTGCACCAATTTGCAGTCCCACCAGCAATGTACAAGTGTACCCTTTTCCCCACATCCTCGCCAGCACTTGTTGTTTGACTTCATAATGGCTGCTAATCTTACTGGAGTGAGATGGTATCTTAGGGTGGTTTTGATTTGCATTTCTCTGACTGCTAGAGATGGTGAGCATTTTTTAATGTACTTGTTGATTGATTGTATTTAATTTTTAAATTTTGAGACCATATCTCACTAAGTTGCTTAGGGCCTCACTATATTTTTGAGGCTGGTTTTCAATTTGCCATCCTCCTGCCTCGGCCTCCTGAGTCCATGGGATTATAGGCATGTGTCACCCAGCTTTCTTTACTTTCTCTTACTCTGTTATGGTCATTGCAGTCTAGCACATATAGTTGCTTTGAGTTAACAATTCAACTTTTGTACTTTGAGAGAAGTTAGGAGGTAGCAGCAGTTTAGACAAATCTTACCAGTTTATATAGCAGTAGTTTAAGGCATTGACACAGGGATCATGAGTATGGTGGGTATCAGGAGGATGCACACCCCTGGAACTGTATTAGTTAATTTCTTTGATAAACATGCATCAAGGGGCTGGGGTTATGGCTCAGTGGTAGAGCACTTGCCTAGCATGTGTGAGGCACTGGGTTCGAGTCTCAGCACTGCATATAAATAAATAGAATAAAGGTTCACTGAAAACTAAAAAATATTTTTTAAAAATGCAACAGATACTTTCTATATGTAGGGCTCATATGGGGCTTCATGCTTAGAATACACAGATGAACAAGAAGCCGGGACCTTAGGGCTTACTGGGGAAACAAACAGTAAGAGTTCACGGTGAGGGGCTGGGGGTGTGGCTCAGTGGTAAAGCGCTTGTCTCGCATGTGTGAGGCCCTGAGTTAGATTCTCAGCACCACGTATATAAATGAATAAAGTAAAGGTCCATCAACAACTAAAAATATATATATATATTAAAAAATATTCCAGAGCTGAGGTTGTGGCTCAGTGGTAGAGCACTAGCCTAGTACATGTGAGACCCTGGGTTCCATCCTCAGCATCACATAAAAAACCAAATAAACAAAATAAAGGTATTGTGCCCAACTATTTAAAAAAAAAAATCCACAGTGTCCTCAGGAGCTAGCTGTACCTGGGCTGAGTATATTGCCTGATCAGAAGTGTGCCACAGTATAAAGTAAGCCACGTGCCTGGATGTGATACTTGAATACCTTCAGTATGCCTTTACTGATGGGCCTTTCTCTTTCCTTTTTTTTTTTTGATTCCTTAGTGGAATTCCCGAAAGCTCTGTCTTCCTCCTCATTGCCTGACCAGAGCTGCCCTCAACCTAGGAGGACCTCTCGTTTTGCTCAGTGTAAGTATGTGGTCCATTTAAAACTCAGGTTTGGGGGCTGGGGCTGTGGCTCAGTGGTAGAGCACTAGCTTTGCATGTGTGAGACACTGGATTCAATTTTCAGCAGCACCGCATATAAATAAATAAGTAAAATAAAGGTCCATAACAACTAAAAAAAAAAATATTGAAGAAAAACAACTGGGGGGTGCTGGGGTTGTGGCTCAGCAGTAGAGTGCTATCCTCACATGTACGAGACCCTGGGTTCGATCCTCAGCACCACATAAAAATAAATAAGTGAGATAAAGGTATTGTGTCCAGCTACAACTAAAAAAAAATAAATATTTAAAAGAAGGAAAAGGTAGAGAGAAAAGGAAGAACATGCTGTCTATCTTCCCGCTGCAAGGCCCACTCCCTGGCTGACTGTAGTTGTGTTTGTTGTCCAGAATAGGTCCCTTCACACGGGGAGCTGAGTACAAAGGCAAAGAGGCGTTGAGACTCCCAAATTTCAGACTCAGCTAGACCCATGAGCACTTAGAGCCCAGGCAACCTTTGAATATCCAGGCGGGGGTCACCAATTACAGCCAACTGCCTGTTCCCCCACCTGCATAGGTGCTACTGCTGTCCGAGTCTGGGGAGTCCTTAAGAGCATGGATCATGGAGCTGGGGGTGTGACTCCCAGCATCACTAGCTGTGTGAGCTTGGATGAATCACTTCGTCCCTTAGAGACTCAGTTTCCTCATTTGTAAAATGGTGACAACAATAGCATTTCTCTTGTGGGCTTTCTATGAGGATGCACAAGTGCATGTATGTGAAATAATGCATTGAGTGGTCATGGCACACAAGAGTTAGCAGTTGTTCACTCAGTAGGAAACAACAAGGGTTGGGGTATTGCTCAGTGATAGAGCACTTGTCTAGCATGTCTGAGGCCCTGGATTTGATCACTAACACTGAAAAAAAGGGGGGGGGGAGAAATAATATGAAATATACAAGATGAGGGCCAGGGTTGTGGCTCAGTGGTAGAGTGCTTGTCTAGCATGCGTGAGGCATTGGCTTCAATCCCTGGCACCACATAAAAATAAATAAATAAATAAATAAAATAAAGTATTGTGTCCATCTACAGCTAAATATATATATATATATATATATATATATACACACACACACACACACACACACACAAGATGAATAAGATACATACCTTAATTAGAAAACCAAAGTTTAACTAGAGAGATCCAATAGCAATAGTCATACTTGTAAAGCATAGGAATATTGAGAAAAATAAGAGATGATTTTGTGCTGGATGGAATTCAGCCAGCGGGAAGAGAGGGCTTCCTGAAAGATAACTAATGGGTAGGTGAAAAGTAAGGCACCTGGATATGGACACACCTGTAATCCTAATGGTGCGGAAGGCTGAGGCAGGGGGATCATGAGTTTAAAGCCAGCCTCAGCAATGTCGAGGCCCTAAGCAACTCAATAAGACCCTGTCTCTAAATAAAATACAAAATAGGACTGGGGATGTGGTTCAGTGGTCGAGTGCCCCTGAGTTTAATCCCCGGTACAAAAAAAAGAAAAGTAAGGCAGGAATGGGGTATTGTTCATATAACAACATCTAGAATATATCTATCTATCTAAATAAATAAATTAAAAAATATATTTTTAGTTGTATATGGACTTAATTTTATTTATTTTTATGTGGTGCTGAGGATCGAACCCAGTGCCTTACACATGTTAGGCAAGTGCTCTGCCATTGAGCTATAACCAACCACATCCCCTTGGTGTACCAATTTTAATGCATGTATGAGTAAAATATTTTCACCCCTCAGAACACAACACTGAGCTGGGGATGAAGCTCAGTTGGTAGAGTGCTTGCCTTACATGCACAAGGCCCTGGGTTCAATTCTCAGCACCACACACACACACACACACACACAAATACAATGCTGCTTTTTCTATTGGATGACATGTTAGCCTGGATGATCCAAAGCCAGCTGATCTTGTGGTGGTATACTTTTCTCCTCAGGGATCATCAATCCAACCTTTGACTTGGGAAGCCTTTCCTGTATCCTGAAGGTATCAGAGGATTGCCGGACAGTGACTGTGTCTCAATTCCGGCAGCCCTATCCTTGGAGTCAAGAGAGGTTTTCAACCAGCCAGGTCTTATGTTCCCAGGCCCTGTCTTCTGGGCGGCATTACTGGGAAGTGGACACGAAGTGCTGCAATAACTGGGCAGTTGGAGTGGCCTCTTGGGGCATGAGCCGAGACCGGATGCTGGGAAGGACTGCAGACTCTTGGTGCATAGAGTGGAAGGGAACTGGCCAGCTGTCTGCATGGACCATGGTCAAAGAAACTGTCCTTGGCTCAGACAGACCTGGGGTGGTGGGCATCTGGCTGGACCTGGAGGAGAGGAAGCTTGCCTTCTATTCAGTGGCCAGTCAGGAGAAGCTTCTGTATGAGTGTGAGATGGCGGCCTCCTCTCCTCTGCACCCTGCCTTCTGGCTCTATGGCCTAACTCCTGGAAACTCCCTGATCATAAATCAAGTACGAGTATAAAGCTTCCTCAGGGGTTAAAACACAGTGGTCTCCTGGCCTCTCTCTCTGCCTTCAAGCAGGTGGCAACTCAACTTAAGAATCCCACTTTTGAAGTTCATCCTTTTGTGTGGTACAGGATTAACAAAGCAGGCTTGAAGTTCTTGAACCCTGCACATTTCAAAGAAAGGACTGGCCTCTGACAGACTCAAGAGAGGGGACCTATAAGCCCTTCACATATCTTGCCTGGCATGAGTGGCTTGGTTTAAGTGGGGGCTTTGGGCCATGCAGTATCACCTTGACCTCTGCACGGGCTAGAGATTAAGTCAGCCATGTGGGCAGTGAGGCATGCCTATGTGACAGATCCCCAATAAAAGCATTGAATACTGCGGCTTGGGGAACCTTCCCTGATTGGCAGTACTCCAACCACATTGCCACACATCATTGCTGGGAAAATTAAGCAATGTCCTCAGGACCCCACTGGGAGGGGATGGATGATTGGGAATTCTCTTGCTCTGTGTGCCTTTTTCTATTGCTGATTTTATTCTGTGGCCTTTCACTACAGTAAATTGTAACTGGTAATGATTCACTGAATGCAAGGGTGGCCACAGGGACCCCAGAACATAAGGGACATACATTACTTATCAGTTGCTGTGTAATGATATTACTATGGATTTAGTGGTTTAAAACAATTTACATTTATTATCTCACTGTTTCTGTGGGTCAGGAGTCAGCGTCCAGCTTAGCTGAGGCTTCTGCTTCTGAGTCTCTCAAGTTGCAGTTGACATGTCAGCTGGGGCCACAGTGTCACAGGAGGCTCAACCAGGAAAGGATCTGCTCTGGAACTCATGTGGTGGGCAGCATTCAGTTTCTTGTTGTTGAATTGACAGCTGCTATTTCTTGGTGACCGTTGACTGGAGACCACCCTCAGTTCCTTACCCCCTGAGTTTTTGCAACAGAGTTGCTTGCCTCCTCCCAGTCAATAAAGAAGAGAAAGTCTCTTGGCAAGATGGACATGAAGGGCTGGGGTTGTGGCTCAGTGGTAGAGCACTGCCTAGTGCGTGTGACACACTGGGTTTGATCCTCAGGACCACATATAAATAAATAAATAAATAAAATTATATTTTTTTAAAAATAAGGCTTCCTATGCACAGTATTAATTTATATATAAAAAAAGATGGATGTGAAATCTTACACAATAATTACATAAACATATAATGGCACATATCCTATTACCTTTGCCTTATTCTGTTGGATAGAAGCAAGTCATAGATCACACCCACACTTAAAGGGAGGGCATGAAACAAGGGTAAGAACTCCAGAATGTGGGGTGCATGGGAGGCACCTTATAGTCTGTCTGGCATATGTGTCATTTCTTACTTGATTTTTCCTACTTTATTTATTTGTGTATTTATGTATGTATTTATTTATATTTTGCAGTGCTAGAGACTGAACCCAGGGATACTCTATTGCTGAGCTACATTCCCAGCCATTTTTTTTTAAATTTTAATATTTATTTATTTACTTACTTACTTATTTATTTTTAGTTTTCGGCGGACACAACATCTTTTTTTGTATGTGGTGCTAAGGATCGAACCCAGTGCCGCACGTATGCCAGTCGAGCGCGCTACCGCTTGAGCCACATCCCCAGCCCCCCAGCCATTTTTAAAAAATTTGAGATAGGGCCTCACTAAATTGCTCAGGCTGGCCTCACGTGATCTGCCTGCCTCATCCTCCTGAGACTCTGAGATTATAGACATACACTACCGTACCTGGAAAATTCCCCTATTTTTAAAAATCATTTTATTACATAACAATACAGATACAGAAAACTACCCAAAACACATGTGGGTCTTAAACATCCTGGAAACTACTATTCAGGTCAAGAAATGAAACCTGTTGCCCACCACAGAAGCTCTGTATGTAGCTGGGTGTGGTGGCACATGCCTGTAATCCCAGCAACTCAGGAGGCTGAGGCAGGAGGATCACAAGTTCAAAGACAACCTCAGCAATTTAGCAAGGCCCTAAGCAACTTGGCAAGACCCTGTCTTTAAAAAAAAAGTGGGGGGGGCTGGTGATGTGGCTTAGTGGTTAAATACCCCTGGGTTCAGTCCCTGATACCCCCCACCCCAAAAAAGAGAAGAAGCTGCTTTGTCATGTGCCCCACTTCAATCACAACCCCGCAACACCTGAGAGCAGTCCTGACTTTCCCACTAATCATTTCTGTATTTTTCTGTAGAGTTTTATCACCCAAATATGTCTGTAGCCACAAAACTTAGTCTCGCCCCCATTTTCAAAAAACTGGTATGCTTTTGGGCTGGGCTTGTGGTTCAGTGGTAGAGCACTTGCTTAGCATGTGAGGCATTGGGTTCAATAATCAGCACTGCTTATAAATAAATGAATAAAGGTCCATCAACAACTAAAAAAATTATAAATAATTGGTATGCTTTTTAAAAACAGCTTTGTTTTAAAACAAGACCCAACTTACATACTGTAAAATTCACCTATTTAAACAGTATAAACCAGTGCTCTTTAGTGTATTTACAGAGTTGTGAAATCATCAGCATAATCTAATTTTAGAACATTTTAATCACCCCAGAAAGAACTCTTATACCTTTTACCAAGTGATTGGTCCTAAGTCTCATACTCTACATATCTCCCCTATATCTCTGTCTCCTTTTCTTTTCCTAGCGATTCATCTGCCGAAGGACCCCCAGCTAGATTTGCACCTATTTTGAAGATTTGGAAATTCAACTCTGTTGGGTCAGATTGGGCAGAAAGCATTGGCACACAACTAGCCAGGAAGCCTGGGGTGGTACACTTAACCTCTCTTTGCCTCTGTTTGTCTGTAAGAAGGAAGCAGTTACCTTACCTACCCTTACCTTCCTCATAGGACTGCTGAGAAAATTAAATAAAGTAATAGATGAGGAGATCAGAAGACTTTTCTTTGTGCTAGAGGACCATGAAAAGGCTCTCTGGGGCTGGGGCTGGCTCAGTGGTACAGCACTTGCCTAGAATGTGGGAGGCACTGGGTTTGATCCTCAGCCCCAAATAGAAATAAAATAAAGGTATTGTATCCATCTACAGCTAAAAATGATTTTTAAAAGGCTCTCTGCCCTCACTCTTTTTTTTCCCAGTTAATTATCAATCTACTCGTTGACTATTTTGTTATCTCTTTATTTATTGTACTAGAGATTGAACCCAGGGGTACTCTACCATGGAGCCACCTCCCCAACCCCATTTATTTATTTATTTATTTTTAAGAGAGAGAGAGAAAAAAGAGAGAGAATTTTTTAATATTTATTTTTCAATTTTTCGGTGGACACAACATCTTTATTTTATTTTTATGTGGTGCTGAGGATCGAACCCAGCGCCCTGCGAATGCCAGGCGAGCACGTCACCGCTTGAGCCACATCCCCAGCCCCCCTTTTTATTTTTTATTTTGAGACAGAGAGTTTCACTAAATTACTTAGGGCCTTGCTAAGTTGCTGAGGCTGGTCTTAAACTTGCAGTCCTCTAGTCTCAACCTCCTAAGTTGCTGGGATCACAGGTGTACACCAGTCCATCTGGCTTCTCTGCCCTCCCTTTTTGCATTATGGAGCTTTTATTGTTTTACTCACAGTCATCTTGATGTTTACCTTTTGGGCAAAATTTAGCATTTAGAAGCCAGGGTTCTAATCTCTTGCTGTGATGCCTTTTGTTGAATAGCATGCTTTTAATCAATGTTTGGATAACAGGATCTTTGTGAGGGTGGGGTTTATCTGTTGGTCCTATGATTTCCTCAAACTGGAGCCAAAGTGTAAGAATCACAAGGGGGGGGGGGGGCGGAGTGGAGACAGTCGCTTTTGGTTGCCTTGCTTTTGTCTCACTTTTACTGCCTGCACATCCCTTCTGGTACACAGTGGGAAATGACATCCTTCCCTCAATCAAAACATAAAATCTTCCAAAAGAAAAACAAAACAAAAACTGAAGCCAAAATGCCAATGGATAAAAGACTTTGCACTTGAGTCTGGTTTTGTGTGAATCAGGAAATTATCCGCCCAAAGCCCAAGCTGGAAAATTTACAGCCAGGACTTTCCTAATCTATGGGGGCGACTGTATCATAATACCATAGACTGGGTGGCTTACACTACAGGGATTTATTTCTCACAGTCTGGGGGCTGGGAAGTTCAAGGTCAAGATTTAAGGGAGCTCTCTGGGATTTCATTTTTATAAGGATTCTGTCCCCATTATGAGGGCACTATCCTCATGACCTAATCTCTTCCTAAAAAGTCCCACCTCTAATCCCATCACCACATCCTGGGTTAGAAAACCAGTATGTAAATTTTAAGGGAAACAAATATTTAACTTGAGCAGGGACATAAATGCTCACGGAAAGAGCATCAGGGACTCCTGGGATGTTTCTCTCAAAAACATCATTTTTTTTTTTTTTGTCAAGTCTTGTCTCTCTTAATTGTTTTCTTCCTATGGGGCTAGGGATAATGGAATATCCTGGTCAGTGATGGGGCCTGCCTATATCAGTCTCCACTTCATTTTTCCTGCATCTCAGGTATGCACTTAGCCCCTGGTGAGGCAGCTATTGAACAGCACTGTTATACTCTTTTTCTTTTTTCTTTTGCAGTGCTGGGGATTGAACCCAGAGCCTCATTGATGCATGGAACTGAGCCACATCCCCAGTCCATTATTGTTCTCCTTATTGAGGTCTAGAGCTTTGCTTCTGCTAAGTAGGAAGCCACCATCTTGTTAGTATTGAGGCAACCTGGAATACAGTTATATCTATCTATTCCTTGCTTCTCTTCTCTTGCAGGATTTTTGTTTGTTTGTTTCTTGTTTGTTTGGGTTTTTGTTTGTTTGTTTTTGGAAAAGCTAAAATTGAGGACTTTATTTTATAGGTGACTTCAGAAACATACCTCTGAATCAAACAGTGTTGTTTTTCTGGGTAAATTTCTGAAGTCTCTTGCTCTGGTCAAGGGAAAACTCCCTTTTCCAGGGGGATTTGGGACTTTAGGAGACCCCCCCTTTTTTTGGCATATCCCCAGCTCCATCATCCCTCACTCCTGCCTGAGCCTTTATCCCCAAACTCTAAATTCATCCTCATGCATAATTTCTCAAAATCCTAATCGCTGCATGAATTGTCCTTCCAAAGACCCTGACTTTCTCTGCAATTCTATTTATGTAATGCTGAAGATTGTTTTGATTTGGGATTTGACTTCCAAATCAGCCACGGGGTTCCAAGAAGCATGAACAACCTGCAGGATTCTTGTCACATCTGCATATCTCCTATGCTATATTTTACTTACCATTTTTTCCTAAATCAACTCACTTTCCCCTCTCTTACATTTATTTCAAAAGCCTTTGTGTGTGTGTGTGTGTGTGTGTGTGTGTGTGGTG